AGTAAGGACAAAATATGTGGTTTCCCAGCATCTTGCTTACCAACACGTTTTTCCTGCACAGCATGGCTGTTGCTTGAAGGAGTGAGCTGTCAGGGTGTCTGGCAATTACAGCTGTATTTCAGTTCAGTTAAAAAGGGGGAAAAGAAAAAGGGAAGAGGCGAGGTGGGGGAAGAAAAGCTAACAAGTTTTAATGCCTTTTTTGTTGTTAGGTGTACCCTAACTTGTTATCAGAAATGAGCATATCTTAGTGGAGCTGACCGTGGCGCAGTGGGAGCCCCTGCACTGCTGTGAGCACGTATTCATGACCATATATAGGAACGTACAGTGCAGAAGGTCGGGCTTTTTCAACCAGTGTCAGTTCCGATGTGCCAGGAACAGGAAGAGTGGTTTGGGGGCATTTGAAGTCACTGAGTATAACTTCTTCAAAATAAAACAAATTTCAGAATGACTCAGTCTGGAAGAGGTAGAGAAGTAGGATTTCTGTATGTATCTGATGGGTGCCATGCCTTGAGAGAAATTAGATTGTGAATTAAAGGCAGAAGTATGAAAACAAGGCAGATTTAGCATAACTGACAGCATTCTGTACATTGCAACCTCTGCTTGTGTAGTCTGAAAACTGCAAATACTGTAGTATCTGAGTGTAGGCATTTGTTGGTAGACAAATTGTTTGAATCTCTAGCAGAATGGAGAATTAGGCATTATTATGTCTAATACCCATGCTCATTGCATACAACAAACCTGTCCTTTTCTCTTTTTTGCTAAGCTTCTCTGTCTGGATTTTTACCTTAACTGAAATAGTTTATATAATCAAAAAGCTTATAACTAATGTGATGGGTAGCATTTGGCTTCACTTTAGTGAGATTTACTTTCTCAATTCAAGTAAATCTCGCTAGCTCTTACCTATTGATGTCAGACTTCCACTTAAGTGAAAATTGATGACTAACTAGTGTATATGTGAAAATCAGATAAAGAGAACACCTGCAGTGGGGGGGAATGCTTCCCTTCTCAGTGTTTCAGAAGTCTTTTTTTTTTTTTTTTTTTTTGTAACTTCCTGGTAGCCTCTGTATGATTTGCCCAAATTAATGCTCAAACTGCATGAAGTCATGTTTTATGAAAATGTGTTTAGATTGGTTTTATGCGTTCAAGGAATAGCATGTGCACTTCCTTACACAGGCTTGTGGTAAAAGCTGTTGCAAGACCTGTTTTTTGTGAACCATTGATAATCAGATGTTCTGGTTTAGTGAACTCTGTGAAGTTTATAGTTTCTTGCAAACTGCTCTGCAGACATTTGACTGAAAACAGTGACTGTAAATGTAATCTTGGAAACAACATGAATAAAACACTGTCTTAAACTTTAGGTGGTGTTTTGGGAGTAACTAGAGTAATAAGTGGAGAAACTTCAGGTGATTTTTCAGTCTTTGCTTTTGGGTTTTCTAAAGGAATATTCAACTGTAACCTATTTTTTCCATACTTACTGAAATGTATATAAGGCTCTTGTACTGTGTGTGAAGGTGTGGTTCTCTTGAATGAAAAAGGTTTTGTTATTCAGACTTTTAAAATGTTATATTCTGTTTTCACTTGTGCAAATCAGTTCTAATCAATTTATAAAAATCTCAATGTATTGAATAGCCAGTATTGGTTTCAACTGGAATGCATCTGTTGAAGTGTTTTCTTAAACGGTTTTCAGCAAAAGTAACTTCCTATCTCAACTGGACTATATTGCAGTTGAGCTTTGTGCCTGTCGCTTTGTATTACAAATAATGTGCTTCTTCCTATATTATATATTTTATATAATTTTATTGTGTATTATTATATAATTTTATTTTTTTTATTTGCCCATAAATACCACATTTTAAATAGACTGTCCCTTTCTTTAAGTTGTGTTTCCTCAAGTGATAGCTGAGCCAGTGGCTTTTTACTGCCAAAAGGGGGAGATCTTCATCTCATTGAGGCTCATGAAGGTGTATTCCTTTATCTTTCAGTATCGGTCTGGGTTTGGAAGACAGGGAAACCTCCTTTAGAGCATTTATTTCTGGAAAAACTCAGTGGCAATAAAAAAGCCATAAGTGTGTTAAGTGATACTACTGGTTTTAATTCTTCTGTATGTGCTTCCTGTGTGTATGAGTTGGGGAAACATGGCTTTTTCAGGTACTCGTTTCCACAGAGAAGTTAATTTGGTTTAACTGCTGAAGAAAGGTGGGTTAGTTTTAAATGGACTTCACAAAAGCGGGTTAGCAAAATGCAGAGTGTCCCTTCACCTGACTTTGAGCTGGGAGTCAGCCTGATAGTCATGCTGAAAGCACAACTAAATACCTGCTCTTAAGTGTGAGGCCTAAATTCCAGTCTGATCCCAGACTCTGTTAATTGGTCATTTGATAAAATGTCCTGCTAATAGAGCCTTGGAGCCTGTCTTGCCCTTCTTGTTCATGAGTGCTTTGATAATACTGTAGGTTAGCTGTATTTCAGGTCCTTTAGATTGCTTTGGGTTGAGCATTGAGCTGTGTACAGAGTGCCCTGACTTCAGCAGGAGAGGTATGGAGTATGTCCTCACTTGGGAAGGGTGTACAGACCAGTGGTTGTGGTAATCTCTGGCTAATGCAGATGAGTTTACATTCCTTTGGGTCAAAGGAGACAATCCAAGTCAGGCTTTCTTCTTCTCTGGGCAAGTGCTTTAATAAGCTGCCATAGAAAAAGATACTTTTGCCCCTCTCCATCTCTTTTGAGAAGAGTAAACCCTGTGACATTTATCTCAGTATAATGCAAATTTATGTTTACATGGAAAGAGGAGTTCTGATTTAGGTATTTGAGGCAGCAGATAAAGGCTAGCTGCAATCCAAAATGTAGCATTAAATTCAGAAAGTTGGGAACTGACATCCTTTTAATTTCCATTAGCCAGCTCTGGCTATGTGCTGACTGTTGGTGAGCAGAAAGCTGCCTGGGCTAGTCATGTCGGATCTCACGGAGGTTTCAACACTGCTCATGAGGCAGCTAAGCATTCTCTTGGGGCACTCTAAGCTTGAACCATCTCTGCTGGAGACTGTTGTCTGAAATTTGGTCCCTGTCAAGAACCTGGGGCCCAAGCACTGGCTGTATTGCTGCCCTCAACTATGAAAGCTGTTTATGAGTCAGGTCAAGACCTTTAGCATGCTCAGACAGCTCTTTTGTAGCTTCACATGTATATAAATGTATAAAGGTAAAGCATTCTTTGGTTACTTTTAGATATTTATTAATGGAGTTAAATTTGTTAATTTGCCCCTGTAGTCAGCACTGTTGAGGCCACACCTCGAATACTGTGTTCAGTTTTGGGCCCCTCACTACAAGAAGGACATTGAGGTGCTGGAGCATGTCCAGAGAAGGGCAACAAAGCTGGTGAGGGGTCTGGAGCACAAGTCTTACGAGGAGCGGCTGAGGGAACTGGGGTTGTTCAGTCTGGAGCAGAGGTGGCTGAGGGGAGACCTTATCGCTCTCTACAACTACCTGAAAGGGGGTTGTGGTGAGGTGGGTGTTGGTCTCTTCTCCCAAGTAACTAACGATAGGATGAGAGGAAATGGCCTCAAGTTGTGCCAGGAGAGGTTTAGAGTAGATATTAGAAAAATTTTCTTTACTGAACGAGTGGTCAAGCGTTGGAACAGGCTGCCCAGGGAGATAGTGGAGTCGCCATCACTGGAAGCATTCAAAAAATGTGTAGACGTTGCACTTCAGGACGTGGTTTAGTGGGTATGGTGGTGTTGTGTTGATGGTTGGACTTGATGATCTTAAAGGTCTTTTGCAACCTTAATGATTCTGTGAGCATGTGATTCTCAAACACCTTAATTTCAAACAGGAAGCCAAGAGAGTGCAAACACTGACTCTCCCAGCTCTTTATGTGATAGAAACGTAACTGAAGGTGTCAGAAATGGGAACTATGGTTCAGGTAGTATCCTGTATTTGAATAGCAACTTCATATCAAGGACGCAAGAGCGCTTTGAATGTCTGCTCAACTTAGGTAACTGTAAAGTGTGAAGGATAGGAAATTTTGTCAGGTTAAGTTAGGAAAGCAACATTTATTTATTTTTATAACGGGTGCCATTAACAGTTTAAGGGGAAAGAAGAATGAATGAAAGCAAGTCTGCTGAGTGACATTCTACAATTAAGGTAGTAGTTGAAAAGTTCTAAGGTTGCTTCACATTAAAAAAAAAAAAAAAAAAACAAAAAAAAACCAAAAAACAGTTTTGTGTTCCTTTTGCAAGCACAGGAGAAACAACCTTTTGTCTACAGCTCCTGCAGTGAACCAGTTTGGGGAACCTTTCTAATTTTTGCTAACTGTGTGGTTGTACAAGTGCTTGTGCAAGCAGGAGAGAGAAAAGCAGGGCAGGTGCCTGTACATTTAGTCGAAGTACTGGATTATGCTGTGTTTTGTCTGCAAGAATTTGTGGCTGAACGCAGTTACTCAAGGACTTGCATTAAAGAAGTTCTTGAGGTGTTTTTTAAACTTTATCTGCTGATACTGTGGTACTAAGAGGCCTTACAGATAGATGCAGGTGAAATTACATGCTTCAGTGTCTATGCAAGTGTTTTTAAGCTTATGTAATCTATCCATTACTGTATAGCTGTGGACCTTCTGGAATGTTTACAACCATGGGATGTGTGGTAAAATGAGAGGAGAAGCTTTGAAGATGGAATGTATCTTCATTATGGTTTCTGGCTCTCTTGGAATGTGTGTTGATTCCCAGGCATCCGTGGACTGAAAGTTGAAACAGATTGTGAATATATTATTGAACTTATTTGTTATATTAGTATTTCTCTTTTTGCCAGTAATACAAAACATGAGTAACTCAATTTCTCTATCTGTTTCTATCACATATAAACTCCTTTAATCTCTTTGAGGAGGTGGAACTTTATATTCTGTGTTTCTGACAAAAACAGAGTAGTTTAAATGATGTGAACAAATATATGAAATGGTGAGAGCTGTACAGTTTCATGTCTGGGTATTAAACCTATACCATCATTGGTTTGAATAGGAACGAATACAAGTGTGTACAACCACATAATTGTTTTTGTATTTAAGGTGCGTATAGCAGCGAAATTCATAATACACGCTCCTCCTGGAGAATTCAATGAGGTGTTCAATGGTAAGTCTGTCTGCTCTGTCCTTTCGTTTAAGGCATCTATATCCAAAACTGTATTGCTGGTTACTCTCCTGAATTTCATGTAGCTTATATTTTAGCACTTGCTATAAGAGCTGATTTTGTAGTTTGGCATAATAGACTTTGCAGTCACAAGACAGCTTGGAGTTTAAATGCAAGAGGGGGAAAGTACCACTTTTCTTTGTGATGTGAGAATGAGCTTTCTTTCTGTTTTTAATCAGTCATGAATTAACAGTTGCTAGGGCTTTCATTTAGAAGACATATGTACTTTTTTTTTTAGTTTTTGATAGATAATTATGTTTTTTCAACTAGCTGAAATTAAAATGTTGTTATGTTTTTGTTTTTTTTTGAAGAAGGAATATCATTACAAATACTTAACCTTGAGTATACAAAGGACTACTGCTTAATGCCACTTGTGAAAAGAATATTAATCTTCTCCAAATGTTTTTAACCCTTAAATTCTCAGCATGCTTCATTTTACTGAGTGTATTGGTAAGGTGAAAGGAAACTTGAAATTAGCTTCTCTCAACTATTGTTGCCTGAACTTTACCTAAGTTATTTTTCTTTAAAAATTGATGTGTTTGTCTTGCATCAAGATATGTGGGCATACAGATCATGTAAGAAAGCATACCTGTTGTAGTGGTAGCTTACAAATAGTTCTGATGCTGTTTAAGAAGCAAGTTTAGTATACTAAACTTTTAGTCAATGTCAGGCTGGAGAGAGCTTAAATTTATTAAAGAATGTAATGTTTTTAGAAGTACCTTGTTCTTTAGTTAAACTATGACCAGCTGATTATTATTTAAACTTACCTTGTACTGCATTTGTGAAATGAAATGTTGGTGAGCAGCCCATTAACCCTGCTCCCTGAATGTTAATACAATTTCTTATAGCAGTACTGCTATAAACTATTGTTAAGCTAGTTCACAGTTGCAACTACCTGCTCAATATCAGAGTATAATGTGTTTGAAAACACATAACAAAACATTTGATCATAAATGTGTGACCGATGTTCAATGAGATTCAGACTGACTTTAAAAAAGAGAGAGAAAGCTTTAAATTCCAATTCTATAAATTATGGTTTTGTTTGGTTTGGTGTGGGGTTTTTTGGGGTTTGTGGGGTTGCTTTTTCTGTTTGGGGTGTTCTGTTGTTTTATGATTTGGTTTGGGGTTTGTTGTTGTTGAGTTTTGCTGGGGTTTTTTAAAGAAAAAATACTTCAAATATATTCCCTTTTTTTTATTATTTGCATGATATCTTGGGAATCTTCAGAAGAGTTTAAAATGTTATAGAGAGACTAATGATCAGCTAGTTTATGATCAGTGCATTAAATTGTTATTAAAATAGTGCCTACTAAATAATATACCAGTAAGTCAAGTACATAAATAACAATTTACTGCATAGTAAATATGAAGTCATTCTGAGGAGAGTATTGACTTTATTCTGTATTCATATGTCTCTGGTATGATGGTAGGAGAAATGGTGTTGTGATATGTTGTGCTCTGACTACTAAATGTCGTTAAGGAATGATAGCAAAAATAGTAAGACTTAAAAAAAAGTAAGTGCAACACATACCACATTAGTGTTGTCAAAATACAGTAACCACTACCATCAATAAAGTGGGAGGAATTCGGTAGTTTACATCTTAAAAGTGAACTCACTTGAATCCTGTGCTGTTCTCATTCAGAACTTCTGTAAAAACTAGTTTGACAAATTCCTAGAGCTGTCATACAGCCTGTATAATATGGCTTATATCTGCTTACCAGATTGTGTTGGAAGAGATCCATTTCTGTAGTACTCTTCTCATTTTGTTCAGTCAAAATTATGAAACATGAACCAATAAATTTCCTACCTAGCAGTCTGTATGGGTATGGGGTGGTTTGGGTTTTTTGTTTTGTAGAGTCTGCTGACATTTGTTATGTGACTGAAACAAAAGTTTCTGAGTTAACTGAGTTATGTTGCAAATATCTCCTTTCAGATGTTCGGTTGCTGCTTAATAATGACAATCTTCTCAGGGAAGGAGCAGCCCAGTAAGTACCAGATGCCACATACTCAGTTGCATAAAAGCTAGATGTTTTTCAGTTAGACTTTCACTGTCAGTGATTCGTTTAAAAACCTGTGTGCTTGGCAAGTAAAACCCTATTATGTGTGTTGTACGTCTTTGATCAAGATTAAATTCTTGGCAGAAGAGAGATCTGTATTGTATCCTAATGATTAGAGCAACTGTTTTAGAAATGGGTGACCTGAATTTTGGAACTAGCCTCCACCTTTTTGGATTTCATTTTCCGTTTCTTGGTAGGTGTTACAGGCACTGAACATCTGTAAGGTACTGCTTCCTTAGACCCTACTATTATATCAAAACATTATGACTATTGTATTTTATGCCAAAATTAGTTTCATCTGTAAGAATGGAGATACCTGGCTTAGTTGGTTGGATCCCTGTGGAATTTAAACTTTTTTTGTTCCTCCAGTTTCCATGGGTTACTGTAAAGCTTCTGGTTTTGTCTGTATTGTATTACTTTTGAACATAAATCGTTGTGTAATGGTGGTTGGAATTAAGAACCAAGGTGATGCCAATAATTTGGGCCTGCTAGGTAATGAAGCATTGATATAATTTTTTGATGGATTCTTGCCCAGATCATTAGCTATTATTTGAATCTCTTACAGCTACTAAGGAAAAAGATTGTGCTTAATGCAGGCTTTTGGTATTGTTTTTTTTCTCTTGTAGTGCATTTGCACAGTACAATTTGGACCAGTTTACTCCAGTAAAAATTGACGGTTACGATGAACAGGTACGAATACAATGAAATACTTGGAATGTTTCTTAAACTGTTAAAGCTGTTCTGGTATTGGAACAGATCTTGGCAAGAAAATGAAATGAAATGTATCCTCCCTGCCAAAATATGGAGATTATGGCCTTCCATTTGTATCAGTTCCGTCAGTTAATCATTTAAGGCCTCTAAAGAGCTTGAAATTTCATTCTGTGGTGGTGTTCTGAGTTCAGTCAGACCTGATGTGGAGTTATAGAAACAATTTTCTCCATCTTTCATACCAAGAGACATGAATTTCTGTAGTGCATTATTTGTTGCAGTAAGAGGGTAAGATTCAGGATTTTTTTTTTTCAGGTCAGTATGTCATGTTAGCCTTGTCTTCTCTTGCTATATGTGTATTTTGTTTGAAGTGTGAGTCTTTGGATATGAGTAAGCTCCCGTTAAATGTAGGATATAGTTAGATTTGGCATGGTATTTTTTTTCTCTTTATTCAATAGCAAATGTTATTAACTAAAATTTTATAATATAGGTTTTGATAACAGAACATGGTGATTTGGGAAATGGAAAATTTTTGGATCCCAAGAACAAGATTTCCTTTAAATTTGATCACTTAAGAAAGGAGGCTACTGATCCTAGACCCCACGAAGTTGAAAATGCCATAGAATCCTGGAGAAATTCAGTTGAAACAGCAATGAAAGCATATGTGAAAGAACACTACCCAAATGGTGTCTGCACAGTAAGTACTGCATTAGATAACCACGGTACCGCTATAGATAAAAATCTAAAATAAAAGTGTAACTCTTTGTAAACCAGGAAGATAGGCAGTTTCAACTGTAAAGAATTTAGTCCTGTCAAGGATTTATACACAGAAATGAGGAAAACTTCAGAATTTTAGTATTTCTGCTATTGGATTACTAGTGGGTGGTTACTGCAGGTCATAGTGCAGATTTAACTCTCAGTTCTGAACAATTATTATTTAAATTTCTTAAAGCATTAAGACCTTCTGTAGACTACTGCAGGTTGATCCCACTGATCCTGGCTACCTGGCTGGTTACTTTAAAAAAAAAATGCATACGATACAAATGGTTTTGGCTTGGTTTACTGACAAAACTGTCAGTAAAGCAAACTGTTTTCTCTCCACCACGTCTCCTATATATCAAAGTGCTATATTCTTACCACCAGAATCAATGGGTTCTGATGGCGGCTTAAAATAAAACTGCTTGCTCTGGACCAAAATAGCATTCGTTTGCTGCTAGGAGCCCTATCACTATTTAAAGTTCAGCAAACTGATCTAATGATAGCTGTCCTGTGCTTTGTATGGAAAAATTAATTTCCTGATGGAAAAATTAACTAGGGAAAACAGATTTTAGAAAAATCAGTTGCTGAGTTAACAAGTTGAATTGGATCCTCAGGCACTCAGATGAGTTTCAGCTTCTGTAAAGGAAACCAGATTGAATGTTCTTTGAAATAATTTCATTAGTATTTGGCTTTAGGGGATAAAGCAGAACAGAGGACCAAAACCACCCATTTAGTCACCTTTTCGCTGGTCTGTAAAGGATTAAATCATCATTAGTTGTAGAATAACTGGTATCTGAAACTCAGCTGGTAATATATATTGTCACAGCAGTCACTGATATATGCTTAAAATTCCTATAGTTGCAGAAAAATCAGTTCACAGTATATAAAATTTCAGTGAAGATGCTTGATCTTCAGATGTTCTAATCTTAATTTTTTTCTGCATTGTAATATACACTTTAATGTTTCATGTACTGCATATTATGTGAGAACCATAGTGGTTGTAAAATTAAATTTTACAGTTTATTCTGTGTTGTAACTATAATAGGACTAGATATCTCTAAGTAGTTTGAGCAAGACAGATACTGAAATTTTAACTATTTTTTTGGTGGGTTTTTTCATTTTTAATTAAGGTGTATGGTAAAACAATTGATGGACAGCAGACCATTATTGCATGCATAGAGAGCCATCAGTTCCAAGCAAAAAATTTCTGGTAAGTCTCTGTATGGATAAAAATACAGTAAAATACAGCAAACTGAGTAACTGTACTAGTGCCACTACACTGATAATCCTTAGTTCAGAGAAGAAGGTGCATGCACATCTTGTACATGACTTCTTTTTTTCCCTCCACCCGAAGTTTTTCTGTCAAAACTATGTAGAAATCTCTTCCTTTGTGGTAATTAAAATGGCAGACTGCACATCTGCATCTCCTTTGTAGAGCTTTGTGAACTTTGTAAAATCCCTTATGACTCTTCCAGTTTGTCATACTGGCACCAATACCCATGCCTGTGTTTCCTGATACTGTTGCATCTGCTTCTGTTCCTTCCTTTGTGACTGACAGAATAAAACCATCTCCTTCTAATTTACATGTCTTGGAGAAAGAAGGTAAACAAAGATTAATTTAGTGTAGAACTTTGAATCATTACTTTTCGGGTGAGGTAGATATAAGCTATTTTGAGTGAAATTAACTCTTGCAGCTTGACTTCTTTCTATACTTGGTTGAAAGATGTTTTCCACAGTCTGGAGTGAACTTTGGATAGCTCCTTGCAGGAAACTGGCCAGAGTTGAGAAAAATATCACAGCATTGGAATTGAGTTAAGGAAGTATCTCCTAAAGATAGCTAATATATGCAGTTGTGTGAAGAAGTGTATTTCATTATTATTTTATTTGCTGTTTTGCATCTGCTTGAAGTTATATTTAGTAGTCCCATGGGTAATGAATGGAAGTGCAGAAATGTTTTTGTTTTCTGATGCTGAAGGTGAATATTCCATATGCATATTAATTTCAGCATGTGTCTGTATAAGTTAATTGATTTGTCCAGTATACCATTCCATAGATTTTTAATTGAATTTGTACTGTTAATAAATAATTTTTCCTACTGACTTAAACTTGACTCATTAAGTCTGCATGTTTTATATTAAAAGTAACTTGAAATAATACTGATTTTCTTCTTAGTTTGGAAGTATGAATGAATCTTCATAGTTACTTTAGTCTTTATAGCAAAGACAACAAACATATGCAACAACCTTTCATAGATGGAGAAAAACTTTCAAGAAAGTTTTTTTTCTTTATTAAAGTTCTGGTCTGACATCTATGGGTGATAGCCAGACTCTAACTCTCATTCTTAGCAAGTTTTGATAAATGCATATTGGTTTGGGGGATTTGGGGATGGAGAAATGGTTTCAAAGTTGGCCAGGCTCTTCAGTTATCCTGCTCTCTGTCTGGATATCCAGCCCAGGCCACAGCCAGTATTCTCAAAGTGTCCCAGCTTTTTAGCCATTTGGAAGGCTGGCATCCTACCGTGAAAGCAAGTTTGCTGGATGATAGAAAACCAGTACATGCCACAAAAAAAAGTTATACGAATTTCTGAAAAACTATCAACATAGTAGGAGAGATAGTTTATTAAAGAATGTGAAAGAAAAGGAAGGATGGTTAATCTCTTCTGAAACATCTGAAATCAGCAGAGGTAAATAAAATAATGACATGTTCTTTTTAACTTAGAACATTTCCTATAGAGGGATCCTTCTGAACTTGAACTCTTTTCTTGGAATAGCATCTTAAAGACAAAAAAGATATCCCAGAGTGGAAACATTGTTGTCATCTTAACTTCAAAGACCACAAAGTTACTAAGAAGCAAACAAATATGTTAGCTTGTCATTGAGGTCCATGCACCTAAAAACTAGTATTCTACCCAAAATGTAGTTCAGCACGTAAGCTTTCTTAAAACTAATAGGTCAGTCCTAAGGCTACCAGTGTATAGTTGGTGTCACTGAGTTGGGTAACCCTTTCAGTTGTCTTAGTGATGCCAACAAGCTTCTGAATTGCCTTAGCCTGGATTTCCAATGATAAACTATAATTGGATATTGGCTGAAATAATAACTGATAGTTTTATAATTGAGTTAATGTTCTTAGTATCTAAGAAGTATCAATATAGATCCATTAGTAGCTGTAAATCTTAGTCTTTCTTTGTCTCTCCCCTCTTATTGAGTGCACTGGAATCTACACGTAACATTAGTAGGACTGGAACTCAGTATCACCTTTCTTTCCTCTAAGTGCAAACCAAAGAGGAATCGAGAGTCAGCTACAGTGCATTCTTAATATAGCTCTAATGTACTAAGCTTCTAATCTACTAACCTCATAACTAAATAAAAAAATGTCTAGTCTACAGGAAAGAAATCAGGTGAAACGACAATCTCCCCATACTGTTTTCCAGATGTTTGAAACTCTCTTTAAGCAATTTGGCGAGAATATTGAATTTGTGGAAGGAAACTGGAAGGAAATAGTTGTCCTGGAACAGAAGTGCTAGAAGAGCTGAAAGACCTAGTTACAGTTCAACATACCAGAAAGCCTTGCTACTTTGATGTTCCTTCCATTCAAGTTTTTTGTAGCCTGATGTGAAGTGTGACTTGGGCTGATCCAGCAAGTCGTTCAGGTCCCAGAAACAAAATATTGACTACATATGCCTAATGAAAAATAAAGAGGGAAAAGAACATTGGAGGCTTTAGGTATTTTCAGAAGTTAAGTCCTATTGTTAAAAGGCCCTTGCTAATGAATCTCCTTGGTCGACATACAAAACCAAGGGTAAATATTTTGGAAAACCGTTTTCTTCTTGACTGATTACAGGGCTGAGTCTTTAGGGAAAGGTTTTACACATGTGTAGTTGCACAGCATATTTCATTCTGTTTTTCTTTGACTATCAGGTGCATTTGAGTTTTTTTTCTTAACCAGTGGGGTGACATCTGATTTCTATTTTATTTTTTTAAAGGAATGGCCGTTGGAGGTCAGAATGGAAGTTTACAATCACCCCTTCAACCACTCAAGTGGCTGGCATCTTGAAAATTCAGGTATGCTTATCTCACTGTCCTGATCGGTAAAGTCTCCAGTTATTATCAAAGGAGGCTCAGGCCAGTGTATTAAATATTCCTAGAGAGTTTGGGGACCCAATAAGCAAAGCAGAGATGCCCATTCAGTTAAGTTTTAGCAACTTAATTGCATATTTACCTAATCCTTAGACACACAAAATATGTGTTTAATGTAGTGATTCAGAAGACTCCAGAAGGTGTATTCACCTCAGCTAGGCCTCTACCTCTCTGGTTTCCTGTTTTTTTGAATCCGGGTCCCATTCATTCAGAGTTTGCCCTTCCTGTTGGCTTTAGGGCATTTAGAAAGGAGA